AAGCATGTGACATTTAACACTTTGGCCAACCCTGGTGCACATACCCTGACCGCATCTCCCTAGTATTTCAACTCCATATGCTGTACCTGGGTGAACGTAAGAAGGGCCGGACCCCAAACGGGTGGGACAGCAGCGATCCCTTTACTGGTCAGGCGGTCAGGAGAGTGGGACGACCACTCCCTGCTACACCTGCTTGCCCATCTCGCCAACTGATCCCCTGCCAGATCTCCCTCTTGAGTCACTGAGAAAGCTCACCTAGGATGGAGGAGTCCATGGTGTCTCAGCCCTTGAGCATCACCTCCCCTCCCACCAACCGCAAAAGACAAAAATCCTCCAAACAGGAGGCGGCAGGCAGGATCAAAGCAAAGGCCAAGTCCATTTCTGGAAGAAAACCTTCCAAGTTGGGTGAGAAACAGGCTAGCAGAAGGCACCAGGCCCTGGAGAGGGAATTCTCCAAGGCATAAAAGCAGGCCAGGGCAAAAGTGGAGCAAACAGAGGAAATGGTCTTTGACCTCCCATTGGGCCCTTCCACACAAAGAGTATGGTTCCCGGAAGGGTCCTTTCAGGCCTCTGAGGCAGGTCCATCTACATCCATACCTAAGGCCACATTCACACCCACAGCGGCAGGTCTCAGGTGGGCGGAGTCCGAGACCAACCCCTCCGAGGATCACTTGCAAACCCTGATTGAGCAGACTTTCTCAGAACGATGGCAGCTAGGGCTAACCATGGATCGGGAACCGAATCCGTGATGGCCATGCCCCCACCCAAGTCACAACCAGGGCACACCTCATACCAGGATCCCCCCTCCCCATCACGGTCATTCCTCAGTAGGGAATCCTCTCCCACGGAGGACAACCAACATGACATGTCATGGTGGGAGGAGGACCCTCCTTCAGACCCCACTCCATTCGGAGGGGTATTCAACCCTACCCTTTTCCTGACTCTGCTCCGCAGAGCCAGTTCAACGGCAAACATTGGCCCGGACCATATCCCTTAGCCAGAACCACTGCCCAGTTCAGATCCATTGTTCTTAGAACCCGTGGTAGCTCAACACCACGTCCCCTATCCGACGCTCTTCCAAATTACCATTAAGAAACAATGGTCTTCACCGGGCACCTTCCCCACTCTGGGGGAACTGACAAGAAGCTGTTCAGCACAACACCAGAACAGTCAAAGGACCTCGAGGTACCAAAGGTCGACGAGCCCTTTGGATTCCTCTTCTCCCCATCTGCAGTGTCGGGAGACATGGCGGAGGTATTGAAATCCTATGACAAAAGGTGGGAACTCACATTCTGCAGAACCCACAGGCAGTAGCATGGGTGGTAAGAGCCGCTACCTGCACATCCTTTTTTGCAAGGATTTCCCTACTCTGGATTTGCCAACTCCAGGCCAGACTTCCTCAGGAAGAGGTACAGACACAACAGGACCTGAGCAAGCTTGCTGCAGCATCAGAATACGACTCTGATGCCACGCTGCATGCAGCCAGGCTTTCATCCAGAGCAATAGCATCCAACGTCTCAGCACGCAGGATGCTATGGCTCAGGCACTGGCAAACTGACCCAAAGGCCAAGTGGCGCCTAGCCACAGCCCCCTGCCAGAGTGGGCTATTATTCGGGGAGGCGCTGAATCCTTATCTCACTGAAACTAAGGACAAACTAGCCCACTCCAGCAGACGGGCCGACAGGCGTTCAACCCCATATGCCTGAAGGCAGTCCTTTTGGGTGGGATAGGGCTCGACCTTCTCTCAGCCCACCCAAATGCAAACCCTCCATTCCATCTTGGGTAACATTCGACACAGCAACTTCCTGTCGTCCATAGATCTTACGGAGGCATACCTTCACATCCCAATTGCCCACAGTCACCGACGGTTCCTCAGGTTCTGCTACGTGGGACACCACTTCCAGTACAGGGCACTGCTGTTTGGCCTATCGTCAGCCCATGAGCCTTTACCAAGATCCTGGCGGTACTGGCTGCACACCTGCGAACGATACTGGTGCGCGTCCAGTGCTACCTGGACAACATCCTCATCCAATCATCGTCCCCAGAGGTAGTGCAATCAGACCTAGCGTTGACAATCAGTCTTCCAGGAGCACGGATTCTCAATCAATTTTCAAAAGAGTCAGACCAGCCCAACCACCTGCATATTACACCTAGGCGCAATCATAGACACAGTCAGGGGGCAGGTCTACCTGTCACAGGAACATCACAACAGCATACATTCCCTAGTCAGGTAACGCAGGGAACGAACAGTTCCCCTGGTCGTACTCTCCCAACTGCTGGGGAAGATGGTATCGTGCATAGCAATAGTGCCCTGGGCGAGACTACATTCCAGGAATCTCCAATGGTTCCTCCTTCCATTCCAGAGGCTGAAACTCAGCTCTTCCAACAGAAAGGTAAGGGTCCCTCCAGAAACATTATGGTCCCTCAAGTGGTGGTCTTCGCCAGCACTAGCCAGAGGGTCACACTTCAAGGAACCCGACCGTCTCACGCTTATGACGGATGCCAGCCTGTTTGGCTGGGGAGAGCACTGCAGTCCATGTGGGTGCAGGGCCAATGATCCTGGAAGGACCTAGAACACAACATCAATTGGTTGGAGTTAAGGGCTATACACCTAGCTTTCCGGCACTTACACAACAGGGTAGCGGGACAACACATACTAGTCCTCACAGACAACGTGTCCGCAAAGGCACACGTGAACAGGCAGGGGGGAACCCAATCCAGGTCTCTCATGACAGAGACCCAAGCACTGGGAGACTGGGCGGAGGAGAACCTCGCCTCCATCAGGGCCGAGCATATCTCGGGGGAGGCAAACAGACAAGCGGACTTCCTAAGCAAGTCAACTGTGGATCACGCCGAATGGAGTCTGCACCCGGACCTATTCGCGGAGATAACACAGAGGTTCAGGCGACCAGTTGTGCGACCAGTGGTACACCTGTTTGCATCTCTGACGAATGCCCAACTCCCAAGGTTCTTCTCAAGGTTCCCATCGTCAGGGGCGGAGGAAACATACACCCTACATTGCCCATGGCCAAGGGGACTACTTTACGCATTTCCTCCTCTTCCGCTGATCCCGGCAACCATCCGCAAGACATTGCAGGAACGGGTGGAGATCATACTCGTAGCCCCACACTGGCCACGAAGACCGTGGTTCGCGGACCTGGTGAATCTCTCCAGATCCCCTCCATGGAGGATATCCCCGGACCAGGCATCACTCAGCCAGGGGGATCTACAACACCCAGAACCCCAATGGCTTCAGTTAGCCACCTAGCACTTGAACGCCAAATCTTGAGCACGGAGTCATACCCGCCAAAAGTAATCTCCATGATCCAAGCATCCCGCTGACCGGCAACCAAGCGCATTTATGACTCCACATGGAGAAATTTCTGCAGTTGGTGCAAGAAGTGAACACTCGATATCTCGGACCTAACAGTTCCAAATGTACTAGAATACTTGCTTGATGGCCTGGACAGGGGCCTAGCACTGAATACCATTTGCAGGCAGGTCATGGCATTATCCACTCTACTCACCTGCGTCAATACACTTCCCCTGGCACAGCACCCCAGGATTTGCACGTTCTTAAAGGGCGCCTCCCATGCAAAACCACCTGTGGTCCACAGGTATCCCTCATGGGAACTACCACGGGTTCTTCAGGCTCTCACCAAGGCACCATTCGAACCCATCAAGTCTTGTACTCTGAGGGCTCTATCTCTCAAGGTTACCTTTCTGGTCGCCATAACCTTGGCCAGATGCATTTCCGAGCTCGCGGCCCTGTCGATCAGGGAGGACCTCTGCACCTTTCATCGGGACCGGGTGGTCCTCTGATTGGACCCAACCTTTATCCCCAAGGTTAACACCCTGTTCCATAGGGCCCAAGAAATCATCCTACCAGACTTCTGTTCCAACCCGTCTCATTCCCTGGAACGACAGTGGCACACACTGGATGTCCGGAGGGCACTACAACATTATATCAGGCGAACGGCACCATTACGCAAATCAGAAGCTCTCTTCATTTCGTTTCATCACACCTGTAGTGGACAGAAGGTGTCTGCCTCAACCATAGGTAGGTAGATCAGACTTTGCATTGCGGAAGCATATCAATCACTTTCTCTATCAACACCAGGACAAATCACAGTGCATTCCACTCACAGCGCTGCGATCTCCGTGGCGTGGGCCACATAGGCCTCTATCAAGGTTTGCAGGGCGGCGACATGGTCTTCGCTCTCCCCTTTCATACAACATTGCAAGATAGACCGTTTTGCCTCCGCGGATGCCTCCTTCGGAAGGAGGGTCCTGCAACAGGTAATCTCTACAAACACAACTTCGTCCTCTTCTGTTTCCCACCCATTGGGACAGTGAGGCTTTGGTATGTCCCATTGGTGGATTCTACGTCTCCGGTGCTGGAGAAGGGGCGTTGTCTTACCTGAACGCCTTTTCTCAGCATGGAGACGTAGAATCCACTCCCACCCTTAAAATCATTAAAAGTCATATTAGGGAACAGGGAGCCATCACGTCGAATTGTAGTCAGCTGCTTCGCCTTCGTCAAGAATGGGGGAGTGGCTACCCCAGGATGGGTGTGACAAGTTGGCTGACCTGGTCTATTGTGCAGGAAGGCAGAGTTAACCCATTGGTGGATTCTACGTCTCCATGCTGAGAAAAGGTGTTCAGGTAATACAACGCCCCTTCTCAGATTACTACTGTAATAGAGCTCTAAATCATTACAGTTGTGGGTTGAGGCATCAATCAGTAAATTTCCCCCAATGGGTGTTTTTTTTTAATTTTTTTTTATTTATAATACAGTTAAAAAGAAACAAACATTGGATTTAACGTGACATTCCAGTATATACATTCTTATCAGATTATTCCACTTTTTACAATCAATTCTTCATCTAAGTTTTATATACAATGCTTATTCTAAAATAACATATATTTCTATCTTAACATTCATCTTTAACCCCAACCGTCCTCTTCAAATTCCTCTAGCGGTAAAATTTATTCCAGGTTTCATAATAAACTGATCCACATTTGTCTTTTAATATCATTGTGAACCTGTCCATTTCTGCACATGCTAATATTTTATGTATTAACTCTTCCTCTGTGGGAATTTCCTTGCTCTTCCATTTTTGCACAAAAGCAAGCCTAGTTGCAGTCAGAATGTGTAGCAGCAGGTAGATTGTTCCCCCAATGGGTATTCTTGAAGTAAATGCTAGAAAACAGCAAAAAAAAAAAAAATACATATTGCAGTCACATGACCGTGAGATGCTGCAAACAGTGATAAATATGTGCTGGTTGCCAAGTACCTGAAATGTGATCATGTGACCATGGTGGCATATGCATGGCTGTTGTTACTTTGAAAATGAATCATAAGTAGCTTTGGGGAGGTCTGTTGTAAGTTGAAGACTACCTGTATATAGACAGATGCCCCTTAGAGTCATACTGACAGAAAACCTAATTTGCCTTCTGCATAAAATGTGTTGGAGTCCATTTGAGCCAGTTTCTTATTCTCTTAATCTTTTTTCTACAAACAGCTATGATCTTAAAAAGTTCTTATATTGCAGTAGATAGCTGTTGGGCTGTGGGCAACTCTATAGATTATATAACTATATTTTCTATAAATTTCCTGTTAGAAATGCTTTATTCACAATGTTCATAAAAGTAACACTCTAAGTAGGGCCTTCACACGATCTCAACATTCAACCTTTTCTAGATATCATGATTTCAGTGCTCAAGCTTGTTTGAATGCCTTCTTTAGCTGAACAGTTCTTTTTGGATTCTTCTGCCATCTGCTCCTACCATGAGGTACATTTGCTATTCCACTATATATTGGAGGCAGAGAGAATGCAAAACAAAATATAAAATCTTATTTTTTCATGCAACTTTACCTCTTTGGGCATCTGCATTCATAAAATCCTCTCATTTTTTTCACTTTAGGCATCCAGTTTAATAGCAATCTAAACATTTCTCCTTGGCTTGGTTAGAAATTAAGAGGAAAGGTAGGAACTATCCCCAGGATCATGCACACATTGGACAAAAGCATTTCCTGCTTAAAAATATGCCACAGATATGGAAGAATCGAATAAGAATGCATAGATTGCATTCAGAGATGAACACTTGAAGAACTACAATTATATTTAAAGCAATTTAACATTTAATCCCATTAAATGTTTTATAAATTAGTTTTTAAATGTATAAGCCTTGCAGTTACAAAAAGTACGGTCGTATCTGTTTCTCGATGTTTTGATTATAATTCTGGTAGTAGTCTCCATTAAAGGTTGCTATTATACAGAATAATACTGTAGCATTTAGGCAAATGGAAATTGAACTTTCTTGATAAATCATTTTTGTGAAAGAATTGCTTTAAAATCTGAATATTGATAAAATTGTAGGTAATAAAGCGTATTAGAGAAGATACCATTCTGTCAAATAAAATAGGAAATTTGTTCTGGGAATGTGTTTAGGTACTATATATGCAAGTATTACACACACACATACAGCTTACAATTTTATTAAAATTGGTACTGTTAATATACAGGTAGTCCTTGAGTTATGACAGCAAATAGGACCAGAATTTTCATCACTAAGTGACACAGTCGTAAACAAAACTGCATTTCTTAGAGAGAAATTCCTGCAATTCCTGGTGTGCCATCATTAAGTGAGGGAGGCATGGCACAAGTACAAGGCTTGGGGAGGGTGTACGAGGATGCTGCTGCCTGTGGAAGGAGCACACTGAAGCTCAGGAACAGTATGTTAGCTCAACAGGACTTGGGGTGGATATTGCCAAGTGGGAGAAGGTAAATGAGTGGCTGAGGAGGTATGGCATGAGTATTATGTGGCTTGGAGTATGCACAATTAATGAGGAAGGAGAATGTGCAAGGGAGCGGCTGCCAGTTGGAAATGTGCAGATATCCAGGGAGGTGCAGTGCGAGCAGTTTGGGAAGGTATATAGGTGGCTGATGTGGTATGAGTGCCGAGGGGCTAGGTGAGGTGCATGGGTGGAGGAGACTTATCAGAGCAATTTGTGACCTCTGCTGTTTTCCCATTGACTTTACTAATCGGAAGCTGGTGGGGAAGCTAAAAATTGCAGTCATGACTGCAGGCCAGTGCAACAATCATAAGTATGAGCTGATTGCCAAGCACCTAGATTGCAATCATGTGACCACTTGGGTGCTGTGACAGCTGGAACTTTGAGGATCAGTCATAACTACCACTCATTCAGTGTCATCATAACTTTGAATGATTGGTTGTAACCCAAGGACTACCTGTATTGCAGAATGAGATGTATTTTCTTTCCTGATTCTCAAAAAAAAAAAAAAATGAAATTATAAAACATAGTGTTTGTTCTCATACAATTTGCTTACCCTTGAGTAAATCTATGAGGTGAATTTGCATAGTATACAGTTGTGTTATTTGTGGTTCATTCATGCTTAGAAACAATAGAAAAGTTGGATACAAAAGTTGCAATAAAGCCTAATAAGTCAATGCTTCAACAAGTTATTGTTGAATAACCAGTGAAACCTTAAATTACTTTGGAAGAACTTCAGCTTCTTGCTAAGAAACTTCCTATTATTCCGTGGTATCTAACTTTGGTATAATTGCCAAGAAAGTTATACCAGGAGTCAAGGTCAGCTTGAAGGAGACCTAGCCATTGGAAACACAAGATGGCAGCATAGTATTATTAGCTTATGTGTAGCAATTAATGGCGTGAAATACATAGAAGTTGGCCATTTTGCACAGCTACATGATAGCTCACTGTACATAGACTATTAGCAAAACCAATAATTTATTACTGGGCAATATATAAAATACTTTGGTTTGCATTCACTATGAACATTTATCTGAACATCTTTTTCTATTTGGCTGCCTTGCTACTGTTAGAAAAGTAAATGCAAAGGACTTCCGGTGAAAAGATGACCAACTGACTACAAGGCAGGGAGGGATCCCTGAAGAATTTTTTCTCGGGCAGTAGTTTTTTTCAACTACCAACAGAAGGAACCGACATTCCTTTAGTTTATATGACTCTCCTGAGTTAGGGAAAGTCCTAGAATTATCCCTCAAGATCTTCCGATACAGTAAAGGTCTGAAAGTAGCTTCAGGAGCTGTGCTTCGAAGCAGCCTGTGTGCCGAATCTTTATTAGGCTAAAAGAAGCTCTCTTTAGTCACAGCCTGTTACTCCTTTTTGAAGATCTGCACCATTTTAGGGGTTTATTCAGTGTTAAACAACAAGGAAGAAGGCTGCTAAGGCAAGCCAAATATAAGGAAGTGTGGAGTATCTTTAAAAAAAAAAGTTGACGGAGAAATGTAAGGGTAGAAAGTTTATTATTTTTAGTAATTTGTAGTTTGGTCTACTTTGTTGTGGGTGACTAAAACTTTCTGATTTTTATGATTCCTGATTAGCCAGCAATTCTTAAGTGATTTACAAAAAAGTTACTCATTGACTCGAACCAGTGCAAACTGGCTAAATCCCACCACCGCTTATAACTACTTGACAAAAATTCGAGAGAAGAAAAAGACTTTACTCCATAAAGTCAAGTTAGAAGGAGTGACTTAAACTTAATGAATCAATTTGGAATTAGGATGGATTTTTATCAGTTTGATATTTGTAACTGAAAGAAAGTCTTAATCTAAAGTTTGAAAATGTATTTTTCCTTTATATATAATGCTTAATTCCTAAAGTTTGTAAAATATTATTGAAAGTGTACTTGAGAGTATTTGTGTTAAGAGAAAATTAAAGAGAAAGTTGTATTAGTTTAAAGGAAAGTTGAAATTTTTAGAAAGGATGTATACAAGAAGAAAAATTATTCTATGAGGGTAACTTGGAGGGAGTGACCTAAATTTAATAGTGAACTTTAAAGTATGCATGTTAAGAGGAAGTTAAAAAAAGATGTATTAGAAAGTTTTGATTTCAGAAATATTTTTAAAGAAAAGTTTAGTGTTTTAAAATGGATGAAAAAATATTTTTCCCTTTAAAGAATCTGAAAGAATACAGTGAATTCTTATTTTAAATAGTGATACTTTATAAAGATTATTAAGTGCAAATAGAAATACCCATTATTTCCACAGCAAGAAAGATAAAGCAGAAATGATTAAATTGATTGTTTTATTCAAAGAGGAGAATTTATTTAATTATGTTTTTTATTTGGATATCACTTCTGGATTTTGTGCTTGTGATGAAAAAAAAATAAAACTTCGAGTTTGGTTTTGCCGATTAGATAGATTTGTTGTTATAGAAATGGCTAATTACTATAAGGTCCCTGGCCCTTACTTAAATTTGAGATACCATTAAAAGTCTAATCAGGCAACTCAAAAGGAGGCTTCTTAAGGAAACTGTGCTTTAATTGATCAAAACATCTGGGTGGCAAACAATCTGGAATGCTGGCGGAGTTATGTTCAGAAGTGCCACACCTTAGAAAGTTAGTAGCATTGTTTATAAACTTCAGTAGCCAATGAAAACCAGACAAGAGAGCCATTACATCATAAGGAAGACATTACTCATTCCTGTACACTCCCTTATTCCCTCCTTCAGTACATCCCATCCATGTACATGTTTCTCATGCTTGCATGAAATTTGTCCCTGATGCAAACACTGATTACAAAAGCGAGATAGCAATAGTTAGGCTAAACAATTTCTTTTTGTTCCAGTTACAGAACCCTTCATTTATCCCTTTTTAATTTTGTAACAGAATGCTTTCTGTACTTGGTGACCAATGATGTATATTCCTTTGTTATTGTGGTGATAGTCAGGAGCTTGGCTGGCTTATGGGGTTTATCATTACTTACAGAGGATGCTATGATCGTCATCCCTGAGATGGTAGAAGTAACTGTTCTTTGGATAACAGGAATCAAACATGGCAAAACCAGACCTCCAAAAGCTAACACAACCAGAAAAATTTCCATTTGCCAATCACCAAAGAACTCTCCAAACCAGCTTGTGTCCATGGCAGCTGTCCAGGTTTCTGAAGAAGCTGGGTGTATTTCCTCCACAAGCAGGCAGCAGCGTGTAAAAGGAAAGCCACACCACCTTGTTTTCACAAAACTTTCTTTTGTAGTGTTATTTTAACCAATCCGTTTTCTTTATCTCTCTGAACATGTGCTTCTTGCTTCGGGCTAATGGAGGTTCCTGCGCAAGCGTAGTATAGAAAAGCAAAAAAGCATCATGTTATTCTAAATGCCCTTCATTTGTAATTATTTCTAATACAGTTTGCAATCTAATAATTCTTTTAAACAAAAGTCTTACAACCATATATTCCATCTTCTGCCCAAGTAACAGGTTCGTCTGGAGTGGTCAAGGTGAGGATTGCATCTGTTAGATTGGTCCATAAGGTAGACAATTGGGGAATGTTTGCCAGGGGATTTGGGGGTTGGGCCAAATCGGTAGTAATCCACCAAAAGGATGCTGAGGTGCTCACCTACAAGAGATGTTCACACCTAAGGCTTTACCAAAACATTGGTTGTTTTTTAAAAAAAAAAAAAATAACAGAGGTTTCCCACTATGGAAGTGGTCAGAGTGCACACATTGGGTCTATTGGTGGCTTTTCAAGTGAGATTTTGACTAGTCAGGGGAGTAAGATTTATTTCACATGCTTCCCAAGGCTATTGTTCACCCATGTTAGTACCCACACACAGATGTAAAACAATTAGTCACATTTAGAGATGAAGCATTTCTTCCACCAGATCAATAAAAAGGTTCTTTGCTACTGAGGGGATCTCAATTGTGATTTTCAGTTGATCATAAAAAGAATGAAAAATTCTAAAATATTTCTGGGATTGTGGTATAATAGTGTCAACTTGAAGCCATATTTGTGTCCGGTTCTATCGATAGCTAGTCCAAATGATGCTGAGAAATCTGCTGGTCTGGTTATCTTGAAGCACACCAGGTTGCAGGAATCAGCGTTGCACTGGGAAGTGCTGGCTCTTTTAATCACATTGAATTTTCTTTGATTGTGCCAGGTTGGGTAAAATGTATAAACTTATTTTGCATGAAATAAGTAGGCCTGTTTCCACCCCATCGCTCCACACTTAGTCCATTTAGCATGATTACAGTCAATAGCTTTACATGCATCAAAGAAGACGCTGGCACTATCCATAAGTCTTGTGTTATTCTTTCCAAAAGGTATTATCTGTGCATCCCGCCATATGTCCAGATTCGAAATTGTTGGTAGGGCTTTACTGTATTGACAGGAGCATAACAAGTGACCCTATCCCCCAGTTTGCAAGTGGAATATGTAGTCTTGTTATAAACACAACTTCCTTTTGTTCCTTTAATTATTGGGCCCATGGTCTGAAGAAGGTGTGGGGGAAACAGCAGCAACAACTGTTACATAAGAAAAATGTAGCAATATACAGTCCAGATACCAGAAACACGATTTCCAGGTTAGTCCAATCCACTGAAGTTTTCCTCCTAGTTAGATGGAAACAGTTCAACAGGCAAGGCAGGTCAAAGTTAGGCCGTCCAGCTACTGGGCTTGTCATTGGAGAGGGGAAGATGGAACTTTTCGTGGCCCTGCCTTGATTCCTTCCACTTCTCATTGCAATTGAGGTGCTCAGGAGGACTTGACAGGGATGGAACCACTAGGATTGGAACTTTTAGGTGACAGTTCTTTCACCTGAACCCATTCTCCAGGAACAATGATGGTCAGAGACAGATGGTAGGACAGCCTGGGCCTGTACTGAGATAGAAGACAAAACCTGTGCCAGATTATGCAAATACTGAGTAACTTTCTTCTTTTCTTCATTGACATTCTTGAACCTTCGTGCAATTCCCATACATCATTTCAAAGCAAGTTTTCCAGAGCTGAGGCCTGTATTGAAATGGCCTCACCACTAGATGTCACAACCTGTCCAGCCACTATGTACCATCCACAACATAAGCTTTCAAAAAACAACAACCTAAACACATTCTTTAACTCCTCCTTCTCAAACATTCACTTCCTTCTGTATGCCATTTCTGCTGCTTCTGCACCAACTTCACGTGAGTTAACTCTTTCCCTTTTTACTATTAATCTTCTTTCTTTCCAAATTTTTGAAAAGTAACCACATTTTTGTCTCTTCCTCATGAACAACCTCAGAGCCTGACTCAGAGCCCACAGGCTTGAGCTAACCAAAGGCAGGGAGAGCCTCCCCCCAGCCTCCACCAACATTCTCTTCTCCACTTCTGACACCACACATCCATTATGCCCTCCCTTCAGCTATTTTGCTAGATCCATCTGTAAACAAATCAGCCAAAACGTTGTCTACAATTCTATCACTTCATATTCTAATCAGACTAGTTCATTGAGCTCAAGAACTGGGCAGGGTTCAAATCAACTGGTTTCTTTCTCCCAACCCAGTTCTGAGCTAACACATCTTTCGCTATTCCAGAATCAACATTCATAAAGAGATAAAAAGGCTTCTCTAAGTTGGGGAGGTTCAAAAGAGGTGCTCCCAATAAAATAAACAGCAACTTCACAAGAAAAAAAAAAGCTTAATGAGGTATTTTGAGTTAATGTACTGAAAATATATGTGTATGCAAAGACTGAAAGTAGAGCATCAAATTTTTAAAAACATTTACAAATCTAAGCAAAACACTTCGGAATCATTTCCTTTGGTTGATGAGTGTATTTAGAGTTAACTAACATTTTAAACCTGAAACGACTTTCAGTATGTTCCAATGCCAAATTTTTCTCTGAGTTCTTATCTGGTTACAAGTAACATTATGTCTTGCCTGAATAAGATTTCTTTTTGTTCTGTGTTCCTGAGCAAAGTTACAAGCCAAAACCTGCAAGAACAGATCTCAGATTTCACTTTCCCACTCCTTCCCTCCTTCTTTGAGGCCATAGTTAAGCAGAGAAAAAAAAAAGTTTTAAAATAATCAACCCCCCCTTCTTCCTTTTTCCGTCTCTCTCTTCCAAAGGGAAAAAAATGTAGCAAGCTGGTAATGAAGAAGGCTGAACAATTTTTTTAAAAAAACTGCACAGGGATCTTGGCCCCTTTTGAATTTCTCTCATTCTCATGCAAACACGTTTTATTTAGTCCACAACAACAACAACAAAATCTGCAATTTACTGTTTCTTTCAGAGCCTGGGGTGTGGGATTCACACACACACACACACACACACACGTACACACGTACACACGCACACACAGAGAGAGGCATTTGCACATTCAGCATACTCATACGTTCACTTCCATTCAAACTGCTTGCATAAACAATTTCATATATAGATATTTCATTTCATACTTTTTCCAGGCAAACCATTTATTTTTAAATAAGGTCTTTTTGTTTGTTGTTATCAGAAGGTTTTCTCCTTCTTTCTAGTCTTGGAAATAACACAAAACAACACAGACATACACACATACACAAATACCATTAAGATAACATTTCCGGGCTTGTTGCTTGTCCTCCAAGAAGTGAGAAAAATCAAGATGTGATTTTTGAGGGCTCTTAACTACCTCTTACCTTTCTTACCATTCCAAGTCCAAGATTAATGTTCTAGATGGCCAAATATTTAAGAAACACATCAATTTGGGGTTTGAGGCCAAAGCACGCCTCTCTTTTTAACTTTTCTCTAAAAAGGAGGGGAACATTTATGGTTGCTTCCAGTTTTCCCCAGCAAATTCAAATGACAGTGGGGAAGGGCCAAAAGGAATGTTGAATTTGGGGCCCTTTGCTGGTGAGAAGGGGGAGGGGAAAACTGCAGAGACCAGCCTTCTCTCTTTATGTCCGATAACATGAATGGTTTCTAAGGACAGTAAATGGCACCAGTGTCTAACAGAAAGGAATTGAATGTACATCCAAAGAGCCAGATTAGAGAGGAAAAAAAACTTGCATTCAGTTCTTTGAATTTTTCTTTCCTTTTCTTCTGTGGCTGAAGTTAGCCAAATGGAGGTGTACAAAATTTTGCAACATTGCATTCTTGAAGATTATTTCACTGCCACAATTTCAGTGCTTTCCAATGGACTAACACGCAGCCTATTGGAAACATGGCCCCTCCTTTTCCCTTAAACACCAGTTCATTTTCTCAGTGCAAATGAATGACTCCCTAGAGATTTCTCGATATTTTTTCTTCGATATAGGGGCTGGCCATGCCCTCTTATGTGGGGATACCCTAACAGGTGGTTTCCTTAACAGTCATTCGTCTCTATCACATTGCAGGCAACTAACCTGCCTTTCAGGCATCTCTCTCTCTCTCTCTCTCTCTCTCCCTCCCTCCCTCCCTCCCTCCCTCCCTCTCTCTCTCTCTCTCTCTCTCACCCTTCTCCTCATTCCAGAATAATTGTTTCTACCTTCCAAATTCTGCCTTCCATGTCCCTGTTCGGGCGCCAGAAATGTAAGGTCCCCGGTCCTTACTTAAATTTGAGATACCATTAAAAGTCTAATCAGGCAACTCAAAAGGCGGCTTCTTGAAGAAACAGTGCTTTAATTGATCAAATAAAACAGCTGGGTGGCAAACTATCTGGAATGCTGACAGAGTTACATCCAGAAGTACCACATCTCAGAAAGTTAGTAGCATTGCTTTATAAACTTTGTTAACCAATGAAAATCAGACAAGAGAGCCATTACATCATCAGGAAGACATCACTCACTCCTGTACACTCCCTTATTCCCTCCTTCAGTACATCCCATCCATGTACATGTTTCCCATGCTTGCATGAAATTTGTCCCTGATTCAAACGCTGATTGCAAAAACAAGATAGCAATAGTTAGGCCAAACAATTTCTTTTTGTTCCAGTTACAGAACCCTTCATTACATAATAAAGTGTAAATGTAAAAAGTGGAGGCTGGAATGTTCTTATCTTGTACCATGCTAAAAACAGTTGGAAGTCAGTGCTTTTTTTCTTTCTTCCCTTGTACCTCATATTTTCTTTCCCCCTCTCTTTTTTCTTCTCTTAATTTCCTATTTTTGTTTTTCTTTGTATTTTATATATATTGATAAAATAATAAAAGTCAAGTGGGGAAAAAAAAGAAAAATAATAAAAAAGGTAGGTGCAAAGGAATAAAGCAAGTCTCTGTAAAGATTAAATTCACTGAGAGGTGTCAGTATCTTGAAAAATATGTAGCATATTACTTATTCTCATGCTGTAGCTTTTACTTAGATTATATGATTGGCTCGACAGATGGTCTATACTGCCATCTGTATATATTGCAATTGCTTGCAGCTGGGAAACAGAACAGTTTTATGGTCATCACCAGTGCAGACTGCAGACATTTGCAATAATTTGGCTCTAATCTGTTGGATGAAGATTTATTGGCCAAGAATTTGAAGTCTAAATATATTTTACCTTCTATCACCTTCTTTGCTGCTCAAAGCCTTTCATACACTATATGCCATTTTGGATTGTGGTTTTTCATATTTGTTAAAAAAAATTCAGAAGCCATTGGTAGTGATATATGCATGTCTACAGAGTAAAAATGCCTTGTGCTTACTGAACTGAAAAAAAAGCTACCTTAAATCTCATGTAGATTATTGCCAGGTTTTGGTGGATTTAGGACAGCCTTTCCTGAGCTGGTGTCCTCAAGTAGCATTAGAATTATTCTGTTCAAAGTTCCAATCAGCTTTCTGCTTCAGTGACTCTCCAAAATTCTAGATTATTTTGCTGTAGTTCCATTTCATCTGAAGAATCTGTCTTAGTTGAGTGATCTTAACAAACAGTAGACAATTGGAGTGCAACCTTCTGGATATCCTGGTTACCTTGGCAATATAGATTATTCTGATTCTGTGGAGTCTTCAGTGTTCTCTGAGCTTGGTTGCTTGCATGTTTTATTACCTGACTAGATAACATCATAAGTGTATTCCACAGTTCAATCCTGAGTTATATATACACTTTCATCTATATTGATTCTATATAGATAGCATATTGTAAACTGCTTATCAAATCCCTGTGATAGAGAATATGGATTAACCTCCGCTTGCTTTACAAGTAAAGATTAAATGAGTTGAGATGCAAGATGTGTGAAGGAAATCCGCAAATATTTTATATGGGTCCTTTATTGTTCGATTGTTTAAACATGTTTTAATAGTCGTAGCAACCTTGTTCTTGAATTAATATAGATAGCAGAGGAATGTTACATATTATATGTTGCTTCCAATACCTTTATTGACTTGTAAATTGGTTTGTGAGGTATAACTGCATTGAATAAATCTTCATCTAGATAAATCTTGTAAATTTGTCTTTTTCTGCAGAATGCTCTCACCTCCACATTTTATTACTTTATAATATCTGAGCTGTTGCCCTAGGTTAACTCATTGCTGTATAAACAGTGTTTCTTTTTATTTCTGTATAAATATTCCTCCAGTACATGAAGTATTAAAACATCATATATTAAATAATGAATGCTAAAAAGACAAATGTAAATTTAGACTAGATCTATTCATGTATAGGTAGTTCTCAGCTTATAACCATAGTTGAGCCTGGAATTATGGTTGTACGTTATCCTGGTTGTTAAGTGGGTCACCATTTGACTGCCCGAAAAAATGCCCACTGTAGATAGTGTATTCTCTTAACTACTGCCTGGTTATTAAGAGAATGTGGCAGTAGTTAAGAGAATACACTATCTACAGTGGGCATTTTTTTTCTGGAACCAGAAGGAAACATCGGTTTCACATGACTGCAAACATCTGTAAATGTGGGCCTATTGTTGAGTGCCCAGAATGCAATCATGGGACCATGGGGGGGGGGAAGGGGAGTCAACAGAACTTCAAATCTGGGTCATAAGTAGTCCTGAGAAGGTCCATCGTAACTTCAAACTATTCCTAAGCAACTGGTCGTAAAGTCAGGACTACCTGTACAATTTCCAAATAATCAGAAATTACTAATTCCACTACATGCTGCTTTGGTCAGACTACATCTTGATTACTGTATGTCCAATTCCAGGCATCATATTTTAAGAAGTGTTCAGAGAATGGCAGTGAGGATGATCATTGAACGAAAAAAAATTAAGTCTTTTGAGGACAGATTAAAGTGTTTTGAAAGGTTTAATGTTTAGAAGAGAAGACAGGGAATATACAAGCACTCCTCAAATACTTGAATGTCCTGTACTTCAGGACAAAGAAAAACATTACAGTTTATATTGCAGTTGAATATTTGGAAACCTTCCAAACAGTAAGAATAGTGATAGTAGAACCAGTTATCAGGGTGATGGTGAGTTCACCTTAGCTGGATATAGATATTAAGGGGAAAGGCTTGGCAACCATCTGTCTTGCATGCTTTAATCCAAATTCCCACTTTTAGCACTTTCCTATATTTAAAAGGTCACATTCAGTGTATTGTTTCTTTGAGATGGAATCTTATGGGAAAAAGCTGACTACACTAACATTCAAGTAATTCCAGTTAATTAATTTGATAATTTATGTGCTACAATATAGCAATTAAATTCAAGTCCAGATTAAAAAGATAATTTAAAAATGCATTTTTCACAATTGTTATAATTATTTTTTAACATGTTTGGGAAAAAAATATTCTTAATTTTTGTAAATTCCTTAAGATTTTATTTATATTCCTATAGCCTGAAGTATATTTATGTAGTATTTATATTGCTGTTTGAAAGTTTAAATTTTTCCATTTTTTTCATAGAATATTTTAAGTGGGACAACTACTTGAAAGAAACTGGGTCTGTAGCTGCTCCTTCACAGTGTTTCAGACAGGTGATAATTTAAAATATTAAGAGCCACTCCTAAAATTAATGTGTTTGTTAACTATTGAACTGCTTTACTTATAAGTGTAGTATTTAATGTAGTATGCACTTAATGTGGTACATGGTGTATTCATGTTAGTAAGAATTATTAATATAAGAAGCTTTACTGTTGGACTTATAGCCTCTTCATGTGGTTGAAAATAACAATCACCATTTTTGATGTCTCTAATCAAAACACAAAGTACTACTAAATGCTTGTTGCACAGAGAAGAATATCATGAAATTTAGATTGCATGTGTTGATTTGTTATTGAAATGTAAAATGACGCATTTGTATAATATCAAACTGGTGCATGTGCAAAAATGCTCATTAAATTCCACATACTGCTTTATCTATATATATATTACTATTTAGAAAACTAAGCCAATAGATTGTTAAACTATACTGCAAACCTTTTGTTATCTTTCCTTTTGTAGTCTAAGATTCCCCCTAGCAATGATTTCAAAGTGGGTATGAAGTTGGAAGCTCATGACCCCCGGAATGTTACCTCTGTGTGTATAGCTACAGTTATTGGAATCTCAGGTACTAGATTAAGGCTGCGTCTTGATGGAAGTGATAACAAAAATGATTTCTGGAGGCTAGTGGATTCCTCTGATATACAGCAAATTGGAACGTGTGAAAAGAAAGGAGGAATGCTTCAGCCTCCTTTGGGTAAGAAAACATAATTCAACAGTTTGATTTACAGGGATCATTTTTGGAAATAGCAAACAATGAAATAGTCATAAATCAAGAGGAAAAAGAATGGATATAATGTTATAGATTGTATTTGGAGTGCTTTGCACCGGTGATGGGTCAACCGTGCTTTGCTTCCATCCCATCTCCATTTTGCTTTTTGTCTTAAATCATATCCATTATGTATTTATTGTCACATTAGGGTTCCAGATGAATGCATCCTCTTGGCCAATGTTCCTCCTAAGAACCCTAAATGGAGCTGAAATGGCACCTGCTATATTTTTTAAGAAGGTAAGAAGCTTGGTTGCTGAGAAGTCCCCTGTGTTCTGTTGTCTACTATAGCATAGAAATCCCAAATTATGATTCCAATCATTGGCAAGTGCCATATAAACTATAAAGGAAACTTGACTTACGTTACATAAAACAAATTCAAGATAAAATTTCATTTATGGTCTGAGTTTATGTCATTTGAGAGGCATTTTACAAATCAGAAGTAACATATTAAATTGTCAGAGCCCCTCAATTATAATTGCCTTTAACCCTTCCCTTTTTTCCCTTTCTTGCTTTTACCTATTTATTTTCGGGGCTTGCCATACTATTGGGGGGAGGGTGCTTGCAGGGGAATTGTTGTTTGCTTTGCTCTGCTCTGTATGAGATGCCCTCCCTCTGGGCAAGAGGAATGCGACCTGAAAACATCTGCCTTATCTCCAGACAACGGAGCCTGAATCGTTGGGAAACAAAACCAAGAAAGACCTTGAGAAGCCCACTGAATCTCCAGCTTCTCATAACACGGTGGCACCTGTAGATTGGCTGGATTTTAATAGACGGTTGGACACTGGGGGGAGGAGTTGTAAATTGCCTTTTTGATGTAATCCTTTACATGCCAAATCTCAGACCTTGCTTTGATCTCTTGCCATCACTAACTCTCAATAAAAAGTTCCTTTTGAGACAATGCCTGTTTCAAGAGTTCTGTTTTCTTGGAAGATCTGGTTGAGGCAAATCCTTACATAAATATGTCAGTTCCTATATAAAATCCAACTTAATAAAATAAGAGTGAGAGTGAAAAAACAAAAGATTGCTTTGAAAATATATATATTATATATATATATATATATATATATATATATATATATATATATATATATATATATATATATGTAGGTCTTTGTTCTCGGGTTTTCTCCCGCGTAAAATTGGAAGTGTCTTGGCGACGTTTCGACGAAGTCCCATTCGTCATCTTCAGGCTGGTGTTTTCAGCTTCGTGCTTTGAGCAGCAATGTGTGGTCTTAGCTGTTTCTTCCTTTTAACTGCCAGTGGGGGTATGAACTGATTGGGTGGGAGCTTGGCTGTGTTCTGATTGGGTGGAGGTGTGTTCTGAATGGTTAGGGGCTTGGCTGTGCTCTGATTGGCTGGGGGAGTGTTCTGTTTGGTTGTGCTCAGGTTAGTCTGAGTTGCAGAGGGGTTTAAGATTTTGGGCTGCCTTGCTATTTTTTGGCTTCGCGTTCGTGGTCGTGCCTCCTCTTCATGGAGGGTGTCAGTTTGCTTCATGTATGGATTGGAGGGGTTTAAAGTGGCTAATGATGCAGCTGTGGTCTGGCTTCTGGTTTGTGGTCGTGCCTCATCATCGGTGTGGCTTTGGGTTTGTTTTTTTGCGTGGATGTGTGGTGGTGACATCCTGTGTGGTTTTTGTGAGTGTGGGTCTGGTATCATTTTTTGTGTTAGGGAGTCGTTTGTCAATAAGGGCGGGTTTCCAAATGGCTGGTAGGCGGGAGGTATCATCTCGCTTGTTCATGCTGTGTGGGCGTTTTTCTATCTCGATGGCTTCTCTGATTATTCTGTTATTAAAATGTTCACTTTTGGCAATGGTTCTGGTATTTTTAAAGTCAATTTCATGTCCTGTGGCTTTAAGGTGTTGGACCAGGAAGATGTTGGTTCCTCTTTTTTGACTGAGTTCTTGGTCCAACACCTTAAAGCCACAGGACATGAAATTGACTTTAAAAATACCAGAACCATTGCCAAAAGTGAACATTTTAATAACAGAATAATCAGAGAAGCCATCGAGATAGAAAAACGCCCACACAGCATGAACAAGTGAGATGATACCTCCCGCCTACCAGCCATTTGGAAACCCGCCCTTATTGACAAACGACTCCCTAACACAAAAAATGATACCAGACCTACACTCACAAAAACCACACAGGATGTCACCACCACACATCCACGCAAAAAACAAACCCAAAGCCACACCGATGATGAGGCACGACCACAAACCAGAAGCCAGACCACAGCTGCATCATTAGCCACTTTAAACCCCTCCAATCCATACATGAAGCAAACTGACACCCTCCATGAAGAGGAGCACGACCACGAACGCGAAGCCAAAAAATAGCAAGGCAGCCCAAAATCTCAAACCCCTCTGCAACTCAGACTAACCTGAGCACAACCAAACAGAACACTCCCCCAGCCAATCAGAGCACAGCCAAGCCCCTAACCATTCAGAACACACCTCCACCCAATCAGAACACAGCCAAGCTCCCACCCAATCAGTTCATACCCCCACTGGCAGTTAAAAGGAAGAAACAGCTAAGACCACACATTGCTGCTCAAAGCACGAAGCTGAAAACACCAGCCTGAAGATGACGAATGGGACTTCGTCGAAACGTCGCCAAGACACTTCCAATTTTACGCGGGAGAAAACCCGAACAACCAAAGACCTACATACAAATACCCGCGAGTTAAGCAGGCTTAAGTCGCAACTGCGAAACATTACAAATCCAAATTTCTTTTTCTGACAAAGAATTAAATTGGGAGACTAAGATGGCCATTTCGAGCTCATTTTGCTCTCTCTCTCTCTATATATATTTTTGCTCCTCGAAGCACGAAGCTGAAAACACCAGCCTGAAGATGACGAATGGGACTTCATCGAAACGTCGCCAAGACACTTCCAATTTTACGCGGGAGAAAACCTGAATAACCAAAGACCTACATACAAACACCCGCGAAAACCTCAGAAAACAAATACACACACACACACACACACAATTTATACTTTAATTGCTCTTTAAAATATTAAATACGTGTTCATTGTACATACAGTTCTGTCTAGAAATATTTTTCTTAATAAATTCATTTCAAATGAGTAAGAAATGATTTCCAAACTGCCCTTCAGTAGTTTATTAATTTTAAAAATATAATTTATTTCTTATGTAGTCAATTTGTATCTTGTTCCAAAGTCAAGGATATTCAGTCAGACTGAATAAAATATTGCTGTATTAATGAGATTTTTTTATCTTTTATATAAGAAGCAAAACAAATCTTGTAAGTGGAAGGAGTGTTCTGCGCCAAGGAATGGCAAATGGAACAGTAGTCAATGTAAGCTTTCAGATTTCTGGGAATTAAGGTATTGGGACTGCTCAGTATTCTCACATTATCCAGAAAAAGCAATGCATCAAAAGTACTGAGTATAACTAGTATACAGGGTAGAAGAAATAAAAGGTCAAATGGGCAGTTATCAGAAAATGAATGAATTAAGGTACAAATTATCAAATTATTATCAAATAATGCTTCCAAATTATCAATGGTAAAACTAATGGTATCAACATTGTCAATGTTATTTATGTTACCTTCAGTGTGTAAAATTAGGCATCTATAGATGCCTAATTAGGAAATCTATAGATGCCAAAATGAGACATAAATGTATGAAATGCTTAATATTTCACACGTCCTAGGTACCCTATGCAATGCCAAAAGAAAAACTGGCAAAATATAAAGTACTCCTGCTAAAAATACCATTCTAGCCTTCCTTGTTGCAATATGTAGTTTAATACTTGTCTTTTTCTCTTGTTTATTTTCAGTAAGAAAGTCCTGTACTTTATTTTGCATTTCTTCTTTCATTTTCATTTACATCTTTTCAATATAAAGAGCTAGCCAACTGTTACTGTAACCGTAACCCTTTTCATGATTCTCTTTTCATACTTTATCTAAATAGTTCTTGTCAGTCTGCATAATGCCTAGGCATTATATACAATGCCTAGGGAAAGTACAGCGCATTAAGAAAGTATTCAGACCCCCTTCACTTTTGTCAATTTTGTTATGCTGCAGCCTGATTCTACAGTTGTTGAAATTCATTTTTTTCTCATTAATCTACACTCAGTACCCCATAATGACAAAGTGAAAACAGAATTTTAGAAATGTCTGTAAATTTATTAAAAAGAAAAAACTGAAATATCACATTGGCATAAGTATTCAGACCCTTTCCAACAACACTTAAAATTTAGCTGCGGTGTCTCCCATTTCTCTTGATCATTGCTACATGTTTCTATACCTTGATTGGAGTTAACTTGTGGTAAATTAAACTGATTGGACATGATTTGGAAAGGCACACACTTCTCTATAGAAGGCCTCACAGCTGACAATGCATACTGTAGCATTAATTCAAAGGAACTGCCTGCAGAGCTCATAAACAGGATTATTTCAAGGCACAGATCTGGGGAAGGCTACAATAAAATTTCTGCTGCACTAAAGGTTCCTAAGAGCACAGTGGCCTCCATAATTCTCAAATTTATTTATTTATTTATGAGACTTATATACCGCTTTAAGTGCAAGCACTCTCTAAGCGGTGTACACCAGTAAGCAGTGTATATATACATTTACATTGCCCCCAACAATCTGGGTCCTCATTTTACCTACCCTGGAAGGATGGAAGGCTGAGTCAACCTTGAGCCGGTGAGATTTGAACCGCTGACCTACTGAACACAGTCAGCTAAAGTGGCCTGCAGTACTGCACTCTAACTGCTGCGCCACCTCAGCTCAGAAGAAGTTTGGCAGGAAAGCTGAATGGAGCAAAGTACAGGGATATCCTCAATGAAAACCTGTTCCACAGCTCTCAGGACCTCAGACTGGGCTGAAGATTGACTTTCCATCATGACAACAATCTTAAGCACACAGCCAAGAGAACACAGAAGTGGTTTAGGGACAACTGTATCAGAGCCCTGACTTAAACCCTATTGAATATCTCTGGAGGGACCTGAAAATGACTGTTCACCAATGACCGTCATCCAACCTGACTGAGCTTGAGAGGACTTGCAATGAAGAATGACAGAAAATTCCCCAAGCCAGTTGTGTACAGCTTGTCAGGTTATATGCCAAAGGTGCTTCAATGAAGTACTGAGTGAAGGGTCTGAACACTTATGCCAATGTGATATTTCAGTTTTTTTCTTTTTAATAAATTTACAGACATTTTTAAAATTCTGTTTTCACTTTGTCATTATGGTGTACTGAGTGTAGATTAATGAGACAAAAATGAATTTCAACAACTGTAGAATCAGGCTGCAGCATAACAAAATTGACAAAAGTGAAGGGGGTCTGAATACTTTCTGAATGCACTGTATATAGCAGTGGTGGCGAACCTATGGCATGGGTGCCAGAGGCAGCACTCAGAACCCTCTCTGTGGGCACATGTGCCATTGCCCCAGCCTTGCCTCCCCCCGCACCCCCCTCTCCATCATCATCTCTGAAGGAGAGTCGCCCCCGAGCGTGGCCCATACGGAGCAGCACAGCCAAGGACATGGCAGCCAGGCAGCATAGACAAGACTCTGTCCTCACACCCCATCATGCAGTTAATGCTTCAGGGCACGGGCAGAGGGCATGGCCGCCATAGTGCTGCTGGGCTGCTTGGGCGATCTGCGGCGGGCCCTGGAGGTGATGAGTGGTCCTGTGGGCAGGCGGGGCGGGGAATGGGGCAGAGCAGGGGTGGGGCAGGGGGTGGGGCAGGGGCGGGGCAGGGGGTGGAGCAAGGGTGGGGCCAGTTTTTGGGCACTCGGTCTCTAAAAGGTTCGCCATCACTAGTATATAGCATATTAAAATAACAGACATTTCATATTTTGCCTAAAAGCATAGCACAATCTATAAATTTCCTAGACATTCTACACATTGCCAGCTTTTCACACATTGCTGGTAACATATATACATCTTTATATAAAAAAAGATTTAGAAATTAGGTAGATATAATATTAACTTAAAATAAGTTAATAGAAAATATTAGTTTCTGTTTGCTGAACTTGCAACTTAACCAAAAAGATTAAGAAAGAACAAAAATCCTGATAGTAATTTATCACTTGAACAACTATTAAACTCACATTTTTCAAGTATGAGTGGCTTTTTTACAGGCCCTGCTAGTTTAAAAACACAATATTTTGTATCATTTTAGAGATTGTAAATGATCTATTCATATTTCTGACATTGACAGGTATGACATTGAAAACTTCTGCTTTTCTAACAACTTTTTCATTAATAAGATAATAGAACATTGTTTTTGACTCTTTAATAATATCTTTCTGTATTATAATCTTTATTACATTCTCAAAAATATAAAAATGTTCATAGTTTCTAATGCTCTTGTGAAACCTTCACGTAAAAAACTTCAGTGCATATTAATTTTCTGGCATTGAGAAAAGAATACTTAAGAAATTGATAAGGGTGGAAAAATTATAATACTTTGTTTCCAAACCAGTTTATGTTTTAGAGCATAAATAAGAAATGTGGAACAATTTGGTTAAGTAAAAGGTTCATATACATATATTTGCTTGTTTTCTCTTATTTCGATAGGAACCTCCAAAGCCTTCTCAAAACTTTTTAAAAGTTGGAATGAAGCTAGAAGCAATAGACAGAAAAAATCCTTATTTAATATGTCCTGCAACCATTGGGGATGTCAGAGGAGATGAAGTTTTTATAACCTTTGATGGTTGGCGTGGAGCATTTGATTATTGGTGTAAATATGATTCTCGAGATATTTTTCCAGTTGGATGGTGTGATTTAACAGGGGATGCACTACAACCACCAGGAAATAGTGGTAAGAATCTTTATGTGTTAAAATTGTGTTTAACAAAATTGTTTAAGCTTTTAAATTTCTATCTTTATCGTATATATTTTGAAATTCTAAATACCATAAAATGCAACAAAAAGGTATTTCTCTGGTTTGATTTTAAAATAATTTAACCTTCACTTTCGGTGGGGCTTACTATACAATATGCAGTTTTATATTGTAAGCATGTCTATATTAGTTTAAGTTGTCAGGGATCATAATTTCATTTTTAAAGTAATGACAACCACTGAGCTTAACCTACTGCCATTCCCTTTCCTTCTCTTTTATGTATGTATGGGGTGGGGTGGGGGAATTCCAGTTTGTCCAATTTGTCAATTAACTATATTCAAATGAAATAAGTTCAGCTGCTCGACCATTTATTTATTTGGAGTATTTTTTCATGCTACTAAGTACATTATATAAGCGCTTTCAAAACTAAGGGCAATAAAATCAATTGAAGTCAAGCACACATTCTTAAACACATATTGTAGACTGTTTAGTAGCCAACATTAAAACTTCAAGAAATGGATTAAATGTAGCTATTTGTAAGGCAGATTCAATGGGGTCTCTTCTTTTCCTATCTTCTGTATCCAAATGGAATTTTAAATGACAATAGAAGCAGCTAGCTTATGCTGATTATATTGAATTATCTTAATGTGGATCTTAAAGTTGATACATAAAAATAATATTCCAATATCTGTAGAATTATTTTAATTGTGGGCTCATATAAATAGCTTGTGGTCATGTGAGATATGGGTATAATAATAATAATCATAACAACAACAAAGTTGGAAGGGACCTTGGAGGTCATCTAGTCCAACCCGCTGCTGCTCAGGCAGCAAACCCTATATCATTTCAGACAAATGGCTGTCCAGTCTCTTTTTAAAACTTCCAGTGTTGGAGCATTCACAGCTTCTGGAGGCAGGTTGTTCCATTAATTAATTGTTCTAGCTGTCAGAAAATTTCTCCTTAGTTCTAAGTTGCTTCTGTCTTTGGTTTGTTTCAATCCGTTGCTTCTTGTCCTGCCTTCAGGTGCTTTGGAGAATAGCTTGACTTCCTCTTCTTTGTGGCAGCCCCTGAGATATTGGAACACTGCTATCATATCACCCCTCGTCCTTCTCTTATTAGACTAGACATTCCCAATTCCAGCAACTGTTCCTTATATGTTTTAGCCTCCAGTCCCCTGATCATCTTTGTTACTCTTCTCTGTACTCTTTCTAGAGTCTCGACATCTTTTTTACATCGTGGTGACCAAAACTGGATGCAGTATTCCAAGTGTGGTCTTACCAAAGCATTGTAAAGTGGTATTAACACTTCACGTGATCTTGATTCTATCCCTATCCCTGTTAATGCAGCCTAGCACTGTGTTGGCTTTTTTGGCAGCTGCAACACACTGCTGGCTTATATTTAAGTGATTGTCCACTAGGACTCTAAGGTCCCTCTCACAGTTACTACTATTGAACAAAGTACCACCTATACTATACCTGTACATTTGGTTTTCTTGCCTAAATGTAGAACCTTACTGTTTCCACCACTGAATTTCATTTTATTAGATAGTGTCCAATGTTCAAGTCTGTCAAGATCCTTTTATATCTTAAGTCTATCTTCTGGAATGTTGGCTATTCCTGCCAGCTTAGTGTCGTCTGCAAATTTGATGAGTTCACCATCTATCACCTCATCCAAATCATTGATGAAGATGTTGAAGAGCACTGGGGCACGCCACGACACACTTCCCTCCATGTAGATGCAGTTCCATTGAGGACCACATGCTGAGTTCAGCCGGTTAGCCAGCTACGAATCCATCTGGTGGTGATGCTGTCTTACCCACATTTTTCTATCTTATCAAGTAGTAGGTTGTGATCTACTTTATCAAATGGCTTACTGAAGTCCCAAGTAAATTATATCCACAGCATTCCTCTGGTCCACTAATTTTGTCATTTGGTCAAAGAATGCAACAAGATTTGTCTGGCATGATCTGTTTTTGACAAACCCATGTTGGCTTTTAGTAATGACCTTGTTTGCCTCTAGGTGTTCGCTGATTCGTTGTCTGATTATCTTTTCCAGAATCTTCCCAGGTATTGAGGTCAGGCTGATAGGTCTGTAATTTCCTGGATCCATTTTTTTTTTCCTTTTTTGAAGATGGGAACTACATCAGCTCTTTTCCAGTCCTCTGGTAGTTCCCCAGTGCTCCAGGATCTTTGAAAGATATAGTTCAGTGATCACATCTGCCAGTTCCGTCAGGACCTTAGGGTGTAGTCCATCTGTTCCTGGTGATTTGAACTCATCTAGGGTGGATAGGTGCTCACTTACCATTTTCTTGCCTATCAACTTGTGTTTCTAATCTGATTTTTACGGTACTGATTTTGATAGGTTTTCCCTTTGTGTAAATACGGATGCAAAAAACGAATTGAGTAGTTCTGCTTTCTCCCTATTGCTTGTTGCCACTTTCTCCCACTAGTGGACCAATCATTTCCTTAATCTTTTTCTTGTTTTTTACATGTTGAAATAAGCTTTTTTTGTTATTTTTGACTTTTGTTGCAAGCCTTAGTTCATTTTGAGCCTTAGCTTTCCTCATTCCATCTTTGCAGTTCTCGGGCTATTTGCTGATATTCTGCCTTAGTTATGTGCTTCTCTTTCCACTTTTTATACTTTTCTTTTTTGTCTTTCAATTTATCAGAGAGTTCTTTATGCAGCCATGCTGGTTTCTTTTGAGAGCTGTTTGTTGAAATTAGCTCTCTTAAAGTCCAAGACTCTAGTTTGACTTGTTCTATTGCTTGTGCTTGCATAATGTTGACTTCCAATATTGCATGGTCACTCTCCCCCAAGTTTCCTGTGGTTTCAACATCTTCAAGCGTTTCATCTCTGTTAGTGAGAATTAAATCCAATATGGCTGATCCCCTAGTTCCCTTCTGTTAGAGAATTTTAAATTCTCTATTGGTGAAAAATAAATCAGAAGCTCTCACAGTTGACTGCATTTAGCTGATTTAAATAACTTTATATTTATATAAAAATATTTACAATACCATTCTTCTTTACAGCAACATAGCTTAACGAAGACTTCTTACAGAGACAGATCAGAGACAAAACTTGAGACTGGAAATCCAGCTCCTAACTCAATACTCTTTTTTTGCCCAGACTCAGTAGCACTTTCTTCACATTGGCTGACTGAGTTACCATATGACTCTTCCTGTTCATGAATATTCCAACACTCCTCCCTTCATGACAGGAAGAGACATCAGATCTATTAACTTAATACATTCTTTAATCATGAAAAACCTTGTGCCACTAATCTGGCCTTATACTGTACATCATTATTTGGCAATACCTTTTTCTTATATACCCACTTACAACCCACAGCTTTGGTTCCCTGTGGCAAAGTCACTGATTTAAATACTTCATGGTCTCCCATGGATTTCATCTCTTTATCCATGGCCTCCTTCCATTTTTCTTGTTCAGCTTTTGGTAATGCCAACACTTCTTTATAACTTCTTGGCTCATACCACACATTGCAAACCTTTACCTTGCTGGCAGAATACCTGTCAGGAGGAATTCCTTTATTACATCGCTCTGACCTACGTGGTATTAACTGCTCCTGTGTCTCAAGTCTTTCTGGTTTCATGTCTTGTTAGCCTCTCCTCCCTGAACATTGACATCTTCAATAATCATTTTTTCATCATTAGATGAGTTATTGTCACTAAACAGATCACCGTCATTAAGTGAGACATACCCAGAATTTGCATTAATTCTGTCCCAATTTTGTTCTGCAAAATTAGCAGACCTTGAAATTATAATTCTTTTACTTCCATCGCTAAAGCGATATCCTTTTGACCCTGGCTCATAGCCCACAAACCTGAGCTTTCTTGCCTTTTGCTGTCCCTTTCTTCTGATTGCTTTTGGAATATGTACCCATGCAGTACTTCCAAAAATTCTCAAATGTGCCAGTGATGGCTTTCTCCCATATAGAATGGCATATGGAGTATTATTAATGGAGGAACTCCACAGCCTGTTAACTATATAATTAGCAGTCAATATGGCTTCTCCCCAATATGACCTGCTCATACCAGAATCCTCCAATAATGAATCTTTCATTGTTTGCAAAACACCATTCCTTCTTTCAGCTACACCGTTCTCTGCTGCTGTGTAAGAATTTGTACGTCTGTGTCTTATCCCCAACTGCCCCAACCATTGTTGGAATTTAGTTGACATAAATTCAGTACCTCTGTCAGTTTGCAACTGACACACTTGTTGTCTGTACCTTCTCTCCACAAAACTTACCCACTGTTTGAATTGTTGTAGCACCTCTATCTTATCTCTAAGCAAGTAGCAAAATGAATACCTGCTATAATCATCAACAATTACCAGTGCATATTTTGCTCCTCCCAAGCTGGCTTGCATAGGTCCCACCAGATCTGCATGGACCAGCTCTAGAACTCTTTTTGTTTGTCTTGTGCTACATTTACTAACTGGGAATGCCTTTGACTTTGATGCTTTGCATACTGCACAGTCCAAATATGTTTTGCATCCCTTCAAATTTAGCCCTTCTGCAAAATCTTGCATTTGCTGCAAAACTTTAAAGCTTGCATGGCCAAGTCTTCTATGTAGAAGATGAACACATGAATCATGCTCTGCAACATTCTTAAATATATGGGAACATTGAACCTTTTGTCCCTGCAATACATATAGATTATCTTCCTTTATGCCTTCTGCACAAATATTCCCATTCCTTTTGATGAGACATTTCCCATTTACAAAAATGACCTCAAAACCTTGTTTGTCTAAATTAGACACACTTAACAAATTATGTTCCATCTCAGGTACACAAAGCACATTGGTAAACTTTGATTCCAAATATGGAATTTTTACATCACCTTTTCCAATGACTTTTGCTTTCTGGCCATTTGCCAAAGCCACAGCTTCTTGTGCTACTGGAACAAACCTGAAAAATAATTTAGACTCATTAACAATTGTTTGACTTGCCCCACTATCTA